TATGTATGTAGCTTCTCAGAAACTCTACTTAAGTGCAAGTTTGAGGTTTTTTGACTTAACTTTAAATAATTGCAATTACCTGCTACCACTGACGTAACAAATTACATTATCAACACTCACATTATTTAGCAGTTAGTGCTAACGCAGGCTAGCAGTTACTGGTTACTTTTTTAGCTCAAGATTTCCATTTGAAGCACCTACTAATTTTGTTATATTTATGTTATATTATACATTTATATATTACTATGGATTGAACTACCCCTTAGTATATGAAGCAATTAAAATGGAAGTTATTAAATTAAAATGTTGCACATGAATGCATCCGTAACAATAATGCATATACAGTGGCTTCATAAAAGGCATTTTTAAGGGAATGCACTTCAACATATTATACTGTAGTATGAAATGCACAGGTGTATGTAATGAAATTAATGACAGTTGCTTTGGTTTCAGGGCCCTTCTATTGTGCATGTTGGCTCACTGTCACATTTTCATGGCATCTTAATGTTATTACTAACACCTGTGCTTTCCCCACTACAATATGTCAAAATGTCTGCTGTGTATGAGGCTAATGATACACTATGTGCACATTTAGTCTTATTTGAGTACATTTCAGTGACACCTCTGTACATTTATTTAAGTGACAGTTCAGATGCAGCACTGTTACTTATGATAGAGTAATTTTTAATTGCAGCATGTTAAAGTTAAATACAGACTATGTTATGTGTGGGTTTGGTGGTGGCTTTTGAATTGATTGTGAGGCAAATTAATGGAATGGGGATAAACAACAGAAAGTAAAGTAGGCCTTACACATTAAATGTAACTAATTACTTTTACTGTCGAGTAATTTGTAAAGTAAGGCAGTTTTTTAAATGGTAGTTAGATTAATTCGAAAGGCGTAATCTGTGGGGATTATTGTTGAAATCTATGTTAAATACAATGCTGGGTTTACTGGCTTGTTGTCTAGGTTTACTCATCTCTAATGAGCTGTGGCATAATGTTACAGCTAACGTTACCGTAAATTTATAGCTACTAATGTGCTTTGGGCCACTTGAGTGCAGTTGTCTACCCTACATTATTTGACAGTTAACAGTTAGCATAACTGGTCACTTTTTTAGTTCAAGATTTTCATCCAAAACACATACAAAGCTTGTGATACATTATACGATTATTATATTTTATGCATTCCGTGTTGGAGACTATTTACATGTAATTAAATTACAAAATGAAAGTAGTTGTAATCAGTTACAGCTACTGAGGAAAAACTATTTAATTAAATTACAGTTATTAATGAAAATGTTAGCGAATACAAAAGGGTAACATCAGAATATATTCTTCTCAGTAAAAAGTTTATATATAGAGTATGAATATAATATTCATTCTGTTGCTCTGGATCTTTTTGCCATGCAGGAATCGCTTCTTTTGGCATCACCTTTTCTGCACATTTTTCAGCTTTATTGCCAAATTTAAATATTTGTTATGAAAGTAATTAAAATAGCTCAGTGACATACGTTATATTACTTTGATAAATCATAAGAGCTACTTGCTACATTTTTTTGACAGGGTAACTAGTATCTATATACTATTACATTTCAAAAGTAACCTTCACAACACTGTTTATATTATAAGATCGAACAACCCATTAGTATATAAAGCATTTAATATAAAGCAAAGTTAGCTCCACCACCAGTTACAAGTTATAAAATAAAATGCTGCACATAACCGCAAGTTGCAGCTGATAATATCATAATAGTACAACACTGGCTTCATAAAAGGTCTTTTTTTCTGTTGACTGTACTTCAGCATGTTACAGTACACAGATCCACAGGTGCAGATAATGAAACTAATGATGGCTCATTTTGACAGCTGCTTTGCTTTCAGGGCCCTTCTTTTGTGCATATTGGCTCACTGTCTCATTTTCATGGCATTTTTAATGTTATTAGTAACACCTGTGCTTTTACTACTATAGTAAATTCAAAATATCTGCTGTGAACAAGGCCTGTGGTATGAGGATAATTTATGTGACCAACCACCAGATTGTGTCACTGAAGCAAAAACACCTGTTGAAAAATATTCTAGCGTAAGCAGTTAGCAAATGAGGTCAGAGGTCACAGGCTTGATATTGCTGTGTAATATAACACCCATATGCAGAGCCGTTTAGTTAGTGAGCAAGAGTTTTACTGACTTTAGTGCACTACTTATGGCATGACACATGTCACAGAGTAGGCACCTTCATGAACACACAGCATGTGAAGGAAGGTGCTTCTAGGATGTGTGTATGTGTGTGTGATCCTCAGAATCTGATGTAATGTTCCCTCAGGCCCGTGAGTTCATATGTAGAAACTTATAGCTCTGAAGTGAGAGGAACGGGATTTCAGCGGATATTGTAACCACCCTGTAATCGTACTAAGCATACAGGATAAGTCTATCTCTCTCCGCCTTCTCTCTCTAACCTCTGCACATCTCTTCTCACTTTTCCCTGTCTCTCTCTCTCTCTCCTTATCTCTGTTGTGACAGCACAGGTTGGATTAACTTTGCAGGGGTTCTTAAAGTTTTGCATTCTTGTTCTCCCAAAAGTGGCTTTGCATTCATGGGATTTGTGAGTCTCACATCGGGTATTACATTTGGTCAAATTTGACTGAAATCAGCATTGAGAATTTGCTCAAAGCACTGATGCAAGTACTGAACACATATTACAGTTAGATTAAGGTTGTTATACTCTCTGCAGACTGTTATGTTGAAATAGTTTGATGGCATCAGTAGCTAGCTGGACTTCTTCTGGAGTTTTAGAAATAAACTGTAGTTTCCATAAAGCAATGCATTTCTTCTCCATTGTCAGAAACATTTAAGATATCATGTGTTTTTGCATGGTTAGTTTTGTGTTTATGAAAGTAAGACAAACGTGTGTTGTCTTAAACCTGGAAAGGGTACATGGTTTCACAGAGTGTGTAATCTTCCTCGTGGTGAGAGCATTTGTGGAATCCTTGTTCAGATGTCAGAGGGAAGGAGGAGCCGAGAGGATGTTATAACTGTCTTTAATCTGGCTAAGCATACTGTATGGATAATCCGCTCTCTCTTACTTTTACTCACTTAGTCTTATTTCTACAATTTGCCTGGGCTACACTACTATGTAATCTCACTGAGATTATTGTAATTCTGTCTCTAATTTGTCTTCTTTTATTTTATTCCATTATGTACATATGTTGTCTGAAGTCTTTCTTATTTTACTCTCAGGCTGGATTTTATTTTATTCTCTGCATTTCCCTCAGCTGAGTAAATATATGTGAACGCTCTGACCCCTGTTTATTATACTATGCTTGTACTGAAATTTCTACATCATAAAGATGCTGGCCTTTGGTTTATGGAAGACCAAAGGCCACGTAACAAGGTTGTAGGGCAATTGAGCAACATTTAAAACACTTTCCACTGTTAATGCTTTAAAGGGACACTTCACCCCAAAATCAAAAACACATAGCCTATTTTTCCTCTTACCTGTAGTGCTATTTATCAGTCTAGATTGTTTTGGTGTGAGCTGCTGAATGTTGGAGATATTGGCTGTAGAGATGTCTGCCCTGTCTTGAATATAATGGAACTAGATGGCACATTTGAAAAACTGACCTTGTTGTGAGCAGTTTCATGTAGGAACTATTTTCTTTCTACCGAACTACACCTGCTAAATGTATCACTGCGCAAAAGGAAGCATGCATCTACTAGCTCACCTAGCACCACTGAGCACACTAATATTGCAGCTCAGCCGAGGGAGACGCCATTAATATTTACATATTACACTATTACAAACACAACCTTCTTGTCCATGCACGGTGATATGGTTCGTGGATGTAGTTTGGTAGAAAGTTTAACAGTCTAGAGCAGGGGTAGGCAACCTGTGGCTCCCACATGTGGCTCTTTAGCCCCTGTCAAGTGGCTCCTTGAGCCTTTGAGAAAAGAAGTCTGTGGAAATTCATTCTATGAATCAAAATGTTGCTGAACCTCGATAGCAGTGGCTGGTTAGCTATGGATGCCAAATCCAAAAAAGTAAATTGAATAAAATAGAGAATGTAGTAGTGCGTGGACAGATTTGTTTGCTCTCACTGCCAGCTCTGCAAAATTTAAGTACCAGATAATTATTAATAGTGCCCTGCACAGTGGCCACCTTGTGGTAAAACATTTTAACAAATGCTTATTTAGACCATAAGTATACGCTAATTTAGACTTAATAGGCTATTTACCTTGATTATAAGGCTCAAACATGTTTTGCGGCTCCACACAGATTTTTTCAAATTATTTTTGGTCAAAAATGGCTCTTTTAATGGCAAAGGTTGCAGACCCCTGGTCTAGAGTGATAACTAACGTTATAGGTAAGAGGAAAATAATGTATTTTTGATTGTGGGGTGAACTGTCCCGTATAAGATGTGGACAAGAAACCCCTAAAACCCCCTAGAATCCCCTAAAAATCCTCCTCTATGCGAAAGAAAAACCAGAAGTAACTGTGATTTAAAACACTAATAAAGATTTGTGAGATAGAATATTTGTTATATAACATTATCACAGAGAATGATTATTGCACCAGCCAGTAGTTGCTGGTCTGATGAGTGGTGTTGAGTGTGTGTTGACACAAAGTGAATGGACTGCATAACCTACACAATATGCTGAGGAACTAAACAGCACACAGTTAGCTCTGTTGTACTTGCTTGACAGATGGGAGTATATTAGTCATCGTCTATTCTACAGGGAGAGACTTCAGTGTCTGAAAAATATACAGGGCTCACTAACTGATCTGTCAACAATTCAAACACCCTTGAAGCCTCCAAAGTAAACTACCACACTGTAGAAAACGGAGACACTGTATCAACCTCAAGCAACTGTGTGTGATGTATTAAATCAACAAGTGAATCATTTACTGACCGGAGGAAGTGATTTAAGAGCTTACTGACAGTTGTGTTGTTTGCTAACTTTCTTTCTCCTCTTTTTCTCCCCCTTCCTACTTATCTCCACTCCAGGCTCCGACTACTCTCCCCCTCCCCCCCTTCCTCGCCCTCCTCCCCCCGGCCTGACCAACGAGCACAGTGGCGGTGGCAGCCACGGTGACCATGGTGGAGGAGGGGGCGGGGTCAACCACGGGGTGGGCGTGGTGGGCCTAGCCCCGGAGCACATCGCCACACCGGGGGCGGCCCTAAGCTGGCAGGCGGCCATCGACGCCGCAAGGCAGGCGAAGTTGATGGGCAACGCTGCATCGGGCGGAGGGGCGGGGCTCGGGTCAGGAGGGGGCGGGCCCATCTCCACGGCCAGCTCCACGCAAAGGAAGAGACAACACTATAGCTCTAAGCCCAAGAAACAGACAACGACGACAGCCACAAGACCGCCACGGGCCCTACTCTGTCTCACACTCAAGAACCCTATCCGCAGGGCCTGCATCAGCATCGTAGAGTGGAAGTATCCTTTAACTAACCATGGGTGGAGGTTTGTCTTTACATGGTTTGCAGTGGAACCACATGCAACATATTTTACTTTCCAGAAGTGTCATTCTTAGTTAATTCCCTTTTGCTGCATAGCTTGAAGAAAACCTGTCCTGAATCTATCCACTTAAATAGAGGAATATATCATCAGAGATCTGCAAGTGTTATAATCTTTAATTGTGCATTGTTACTGTAATGTTAAAAGCATTTACTGCACCGTCAACGTCTGATCTTGTGATCCATTGGAAAGTAAAATGGTTTGTTTATTCTTTAGGCCAATTACAGCTTTGGCCTTTTTTCATTTACAGAGTGTTTTCAGAGTATTTTTGCCTCTAAAAACAGATTTTGAGAAGCTGTAAAAGCTTACATCTGTTAAAAACACAGCCAAAAATAGATAAATGCACATAATGCTGTGCAAATCGTACATAAATAATAATAATAATAATAATGTATCTATTGCAACCACATTGCATTCCTTCAATGTGTAGTGAATGGAACAAAAATCATGGCAATGAGGAGTAGAAGGAGAGGAAGGGCATAAAGAATAGAGCACTTACGCATTTTAAAGAGGACTTTTAATGCTTTTCCTTATTTTCGGTCTTATATATAATGTTACAGTGTGGAATGTTCATATTTAACGTGGCCAAAGTTTCAGATAGTGAGGTCAACATATGTTAAAGTAATGACTGTGACCAAAAACCTCAGGCTGCGGCCCATTCTGAATTCTCTGTGTCCAATATCTACTTTTGGGACAAGCTGACATCAGCTCTTGACGTATTTCTTTATATGGTCACCTGCTGCAGGCACTCTACCGCAGGTGTTTACATTACATATAGTGCTACATGAAGCTACATGCTAACATCAAGGAAACCTAGAATCTTGGTTGCTGATATTGTTCATTTGTCCCTGATTTCGGATTATATTCCTGCTGGAACATTGTGTTTAGAGGCTTCTAATGGTGATTTTTAATGGAGAAAGTGCCGCTATGTCCACAGTCAGGTACACTGCTTCATGTAACATGATAACATCAAGGAAATCTAGAATCTTGGTTGCTGATTTTGTTCATTTCTCCCTGATTTTGGATTGTCTAATTACATTTAGAAGCTTCTATTGACTTCTTTTCACAGTAGAAAGTGCTGCTATACTCTGATACAGTCAATCATCAGCTTGAAGAAGAGTGCTCAATTTAGCTACATGCTGACATTGAGGAAACTTGATATCTTGGTTGCCAATGTTGTTAATTCCTTCCCGATTTCAGATCATATTCCTTTGTTTAGAAGGTTTTAGTACTGATTTTTAGCTGTAGAAATCTGTTTCAGTCATTCCACATCTACAGTGGCAGTGCAGACACACCAAGATACGGCAGACTCAGAAACCTTGACCAATTAGAGTAGCTTTTTTGGGAGGGGGGCTTAAAGAGTCAGGTAATAAAACAGAGCGTTTCAGATTGAAGGTGATTACAGGTGTAAACATGTAAGCATGTTCTAGTAGACACCTAAAATACAAGTATGAACCTGAAAATGAGCATATTAGGTCCTCTTTAACAATGCATCACACTTCCTCTTCTGTTTAATATCCCTCTTTCCCCCCTTCTCTCTTTTTGAATCAGTCTCCCTTCTTTCCTGTGTCTCACTTGATGTGATTCTCTGCTCTCCGCTCACTTGTCTTAATCCTTTCTCCCCTTCCTCTGCCTGTCCCTCTCCTTCTCTTTTTTCCACTCTCCCTCTTTCATCTCACATTCTTTTCTCACAGGAGGATAAAACAAATTGTGTCATTTTCATCCCTCCTTCACACCTCTCCCAGCATATGTCTCTCCCCCAGCTCTTTCTAACTGCATTCATCTTCTCTCCCCCAGGTCCACCCCTGCTTCCACACTTCCCCTGCTCCCTCCATCCTCCACATCTCCCTCACCATTTATTATTCGTCTCCCCCTCTGTCCATCCAAATCCTTTTATTCCTGCTGTTCCTCCGCCCGTCCTTCTTTTCTACCCTTCCTTTTTTTTTTCGTCTTTTTTTTTTAAGCTGCCGAACATAATGACTTGGTTTTCCCTCAGGGTGAGATAGAGGGAGAAAGGGAGAGAGACAGAAATGGTCAGTGTCACAGTCAAAGTGATCTATAATAGGAGAGGGTCCACATGAGCATCAACTCAGCAAGAGCACAGTCATACATCGTCCTGAGAGGGAAAGAAGGAGAGGAAGAGGAGGGGTCGGGGAAACGAGAAGGGCAGGGATGTGGGCAGGACATGGACGTCGACAGGAGAGACGACGGAGCGGATTAGCTGAGGAGGGAGGGAGGGATCAAGGGGAGGATGGGGAAGGTAAACAAGAAAAATGACAGAGCAAGGGGAGGGCAAATAATGAGAGAGGGGAGGAGAGGAGAGAGGATAAGGGGATAACGAGGGAGGAGAAGAGAGAAGTGGAAGGCAGATCGGATTGGTGATGAAATTGAAGGAGTCAAAAGTAGTGCTTGTGTTTGACGGGGGTTGCCTTAGTGAATAATCAAACTTAAATAAATCAGTTGATAACACTGAAGGATATATTGAGGAAAAATTATTATGGAAAAATACAGTTTGTCAGTTCCACTCTCTCAGGATACCCCATTCTGCTATAACCATACCAACCATGAGCGCTTGCTGCAATGCTTGGGGATGTTAAAAAAAAGTAGTTGGAGCAACCCAGTATCACAGAGTGACTGTCAGGGATTATCTGTCTGCTGTATATGTTGGCATACAAATGAAAAATGTCATGCCAGAAACTCTTGAGCTTGGGGCAAGACCAGAGAAGATGACCGAGGGTCCCGTCACCCAACTTACACTTATCACAGGTAGCAGAGACTGGAGGAACAATTCTTTTCAGTTTGGTCTTGGAAATGTGCAGCCAATGGATGGCTTTAAACTGAATGAATTGAAGTCTAGTATTGATAGTACATGTTTCGATCCTATCTTACCCTTTCGTCCATAACTCGTCCGAAATCTCCTCACCAGTATCCTTAATCCGTGCCTCTTTAAAGTGGAGGGAAGGGATTGCCAGAGAAAAAGACCAACAAACTGTGAAATGTTTGGAGGCAGGGATTCTAGTCATAAGGTCAAAAAAGTTGTGCTGTTTGGGCATCACATTAAAGTGAGGTAGAGACTTCCTGGCAGCATTTCTGATTTGCAGATACCGAAAAAGAGGGGGACAGACCAGATTTAACCTGATGTTGAGTAAAAGATGCAGAACGGCTGTTAATGTAGAGATCCTCAATAGTAAATAGGCCTTATCTGACCAGTGTAAAAAAACAACATCCATCAAACCTGGCTTAACTCAGGGGTTCTGACATATAGGAGCATGAATGGGCACTTGTAAGGGACACAGCATGCCCTCGACTTGCCTTAGAATCTTAAATGAGTTACGCAAACTAAAGTCATCCATCAGTTGTTTAAAAAATAACAGTAAGCATTTTTAACTATTAACAAGATACAGTGCCCTCCAAAAGTATTGGAACAGTGAGGCCAATTCCTTTATTTTTGTTGTAGACTGAAAATATTTGGGTTTGACATCAAAAGATGAATATGGGACAAGAGATCAACGTTTCAGCTTTTATTTCCAGGTATTTACATCTGGATCTGATACACAACTTAGAAGATAGCACCTTTTGTTTGAACCCACCCATTTTTCATGACAGCAAAAGTATTGTAACATGTGACTGACAGGTGTGTTTTGTTGCCCAGGTGTCTCCCAAATACATTGATTATTCAAACAATAAATAGCACTGGATGTCTGAGCTCAGTTTCAGATTGGGTAGGATAGGTTTTGCCTGTGCAGACTGCATTTAGAGGTGGAACCAACATCAAAACCAGAGAGCTGTCTATGGGTGAAAAAGAAGCAATTGTGAATCTGAGAGAAGATGGACAATCAATCAGAGCCATTGCACAAACATTGGCCATAGCCAGTACAACCATTTGGAATGTCCTGAAGAAGAAAAAAAACACTGGTGTACTAAGCAACAGACGTCGAACAGGTACACCAAGGAAAACATCAGCAGTTGATGACAGAAACATTGTGAGAGCTGTAAAGAAAGACCCTAAAACAACTGTTAGTGACATCAGCAACAACCTCCAGAGGGCAGGAGTGAAGGTATCACAATCTACTGTTCGCAGAAGACTTCATGAACAAAAGTACAGAGGCTACACCAGAAGATGCAAACCACTCATTAGCAAGAAGAATAGGAAGGCCAGGCTGGAATTTGCCAAAAGGTACAGAGATGAGCCTCAAAAATTCTGGGAAAAAGTTTTATGGACTGATGAGACAAAGATTAACTTTTTCCAAAGTGATGGTAAGGCGAAAGTTTGGAGAAAGAAAGGATCTGCTCATGATCCCAAACATACAAGCTCATCTGTGAAACACGGTGGAGGTAATGTCATGGTTTGGGCTTGCATGGCTTCTTCTGGGACGGACTCTTTCATCTTCATTGATGATGTAACACATGATGGCAGCAGCAAAATGAACTCAGAAGTCTACAGAAACATTTTGTCTGCTAATTTAAAGAAAGATCCAACCAAACTGATTGGGAGATCCTTCATCATGCAGCAAGATAACGACCCAAAACACACTGCCAAAACAACAAAGGAGTTCATCAGGGGCAAGAAGTGGAAGGTTTTAGACTGGCCAAGTCAGTCTCCAGACTTAAACCCAATAGAGCATGCATTTTACCTGCTGAAGAGGAGACTGAAGGGAGTAACCCCCCAAAACAAACAACAACTGAAAGAGGCTGCGGTGAAAGCCTAGAAAAGCATCACAAAAGAAGAATGCAAAAGTTTGGTGATGTCAATGGGTCACAGGCTTGATGCAGTTATTGAAAGCAAAGGATTTGCAACTAGATATTAAGTCTCATTCACTTTAATCTATTTTAAGTTTATATGTTCCAATACTTTTGCTCACCTAAAAATTTTGTGTTCCATTACAAATAATGCTATCTTCTAAGTTGTGTATCAGATC